CGTGTCAAGGGAGGTTCTCTTCCCTCTACTCTGCTGTAATGAGGCCACATCTGGAGTACTGTGTCTAGTTCTGGGCTCCCCAGTTGAAGAGAGACAGGGAACTACTGGAGAGAGTCCAACAGAGGGCTACAAAGATGATGAGGGGACTGGATGATCTCCTGTATGAAAGGCTGAGAGACCTGGGTCTGTTCAGGCTGGAGAAGAGAAGACAGAGAGGATCTTATCAATGTTTATAAATACCTAAAGGGTGGGTGTCAAGAAAATGGAGCCAATCTCTTTTCAGTGGTGCTCAGTGACAGGAGAACTGTCAATTGGCACAAACTGGAACATGGGAAGTTCCACCTCAACGTGAGGAGAAACTTCTTTACTGTGAGAGTGACAGAGGCCTGGAGCAGCTGCCCAGAGAGGCTGTGGAGGCTCCTGCTCTGGAGACTTTCAAAACCCACCTGGATGTGATCCTGTGCAACCTGCTTTGACAGAGTTCTACTAGATGATCTCCAGAGGCCTTTTCCTACCCCTACCCTGCTGTGATTCTTAGTGCTTAATTTAGGTACCCTTTTGCATAAATATTTATTGTGAGGTACGTTAAATTAGAGGTTTCAAAGACTCTAATAATGCAAGAAATAGGTATGAGAATTCACTTTTATAGTGATGAAAATTAATATTTGGTGATCTGAGAAGAGTTGGTCTCAATCTTTTGGAAAGCAACTGTAACATGTCAACATCTGAAATGGAATATCTTAATATTTGGGTTTCTTGATAGGAGAGCAGTTTCCCATCTGCCTTTCCCAGCTCTGAGCTCTCAGGAGTTTTCTCTTGTTGAGGCTCCTGGGTCTCTAAATGGTACCTCCTGAGCTGTACAGATGTGGTGTCAAGGTGAAGTAGCTGCTCCCAGCAGCCACTTGGGAGTTAAGAGTGTGGTGAAGTGAGTTTAACTGAAGGAAATTGCTCCTTCACTAGGAGGTGTTTTACCAATAAATTTCCAAACAGGGTAATTCAGAGTAGTTAGACTTAAATATAAAATCAGTAACCAGCATTAAGAGGAGATTGTTCTAGCTGTAGATCACAGGCCATAGTGGCACAGAGGGGGTCCATTCTCATTCAACAATGAGTAATTTACAACAATAATAATATCTGTATAAATTCTTGTCTTCCATAACAAGTTTAATTGCCAAATCCTTGTCTGTATCATCTTTGATTGATTTTAAGTGGTAACATTACTACAAAAAAATCTGATTCCAAAATAACTACTCTTGTTAGTATGATTACTGTGGGAAAATTACATTTGAAATCATAAATTTTTCACCACTCTAAGTCTGACACTGAACATATTTGTGTGTTTGGGGTTTTTTTTTTGTGAAATAAGTGGCCCATATCTGCATATTTGTATTGTCTTTTATCAGTACAAAATGTGATGCTTAGTTGTATGTCATTGAAGAAGAGATGGAGGTTTTGGTTTGTATATGTATAGAAAGAAATTTTGGGTAAATTTCTGTTGACTTTATAGTTCTCAAGGGGATAACAAGAACTATTAAAAGCTTTGCCTCTAGAACCCTGAAAATTAAGAGCAGATAATTTCTCTGGCAATGTGCAAAGTATTCATAAGAAGCAGAGCTGAGAAGTTGGCTTGTGACCTTGCTCAACTTTCTAATTTTTGAGTGGATAAACCCACTTTTTAATACTTCAATCCTTACTTTGCTGAGCATGTGTTCTTTATTCAGGTAGTCTGTTTTCCTCTTAAGGCTGTCTTGGTGTGGGCTGTCTTGCAGTTTTCCCTGTTGTCCTGATCTTAATCATCATCAAGGAACTAGACTATAATCTTGTTCTCTTTCAAAATCAGGAAATTGAAGAGAAACAGCAGGAAATTCTTTTTCTACTTTTGTTCCTTCCCCCAGTCCCTCTGTTTTCTCTAAAACCATCCTCTCCAATTCTATATATAAACTTTCATTTTAAGGTGTTCCTAGTTCCTACTGCTTAACTCCTTTTGTTCAAATTCATGGTTGCTCATGAACTTGAGTAAAGATTAAAGGAATTAACATTTTTATTAAGTACTAAGTAATACTTCCATAGAAGATTATGAAGCTGTAGACTATAGAGTCTTCCTTTAATAATGACACATTAAAGCATGTAATTCTGGCTAGTTTGCAGAATTTTGTGAGTTAGAATGGGAATGCAGAGCAGGTTTTGAATGTTTTAAACAAACTTCACTTTCTCATTCTAGAATTGAGCCTGTGAAGTTGTGCACACTTCCATTTATTCCTTTGCACTGTTGGGTATCTCAAGAAACTACAGAGTGGATGTCCAGGATTCACTGCTACCAAATGGGTTATTTTTCCTCCCAATTTCTCTCCTGTAATTCCACCTCTCCCCTGTACTGGCTCAGCTCCCACCTTACTGCACAGTGATACAAATTCTAGATGTGGCACCAGGGTGTATGTTAACTACTCAGGTAGCATAATACAGAGACAGTATTTGCAGGAAAATTGCAGCTGTTTGTCCTTCCAGGCAGCTGAAATCACAAACATAGTCACTAGACTGCCTTTTCTTTTAAAGATTATTCAAAATTTGATTCATTTCAACTTTCACGTGTGAAATGTTTCATTTGGGGCTTTCAATTTTTCTATTTTTCTCTTGTTGAGGCTAATTTCTTGAAGCTAGCTTGGAGAAAAAACTTAAAATTCAGTTGGTGAGGCAGAAGGTGGCTGCAGGAAAATGCAGCAAGCTTTTAAGTGGTTATGAGTTTAGATTCCTTTGACGTTTGTTTCACTGACCTGATGTCAGGGATGCAACTGCTCTTTCCACTGGGAGGGAAATGCATCCTGCAAAAGCCAGAGTGTTTTGCTACAGAACAGAAATCTGTAGGCTATCACTTTGTTTTCCTAAATATGTGTTCTCTAGTAAGGTACACTTACAACATTTCAGAGATAAAAATGCCATCTGCAAAAGTGGGAGTTCTGCTTCAGCTGGTTTCAGAGATAAGGAGAGCGTGGCTCTGTGTGGGAACGTACATATTACTCAGGATCAAATTGGGACATCTCCAGGGCTACTTACCTGTAAGCTGTCAGGCTGTAGTCTGCTGAGTGTATGCTTTTAACATGTCTGGAATGTTCTTTGCCTAAATTGGTCTCACTTACTACAGTGATCAAAAAAAGTTGACCCTTACTCTTCCCCCCCAACCTCTCTTGTAGTTGTATTCTAGTTTTGACTCTGTAGTGATAGAGAATGACTGCAGGAGAGATTCTGGCCCTTCTTGCAGCAGCTCTGCATTTTTTCCCTCTGCTTTTACTGATTTTTGGATCTTCTGATTCCATATGTTCATATTTTAACTGTAATTTACTGTAGCAACTTCTTTATAAATGGTCTGGTAGGGTTGGGGCTTTTCATGTTTCTTCCTTGTTTTGGGTTGAGAGGGCATGTATGTTTTAATCTTGTCTAAGTTGCTGTTGAACAGTGTTAAGAAATCTAGCAAGCATGAAAGGCTTATTTAAGGATAAAAAAAGCTTATTTAAAAAGGATTAAAAAAAGTTAAGATATAATCTGAAGGTTTTTTGTTCAATGCATCTAATAGAAATAGGTAGGAAAAAAGTATTGGTGTTGTTTAGATAGTGCATCGTTTGAATCCTACAGCATTTGGGTATCTTGGAATACTTACAATCATTTTCCAAATTATTTTATCTTTACTCTAGGTTATTGGTACACCTCAGAGACCTTCAGCACCAAATACTATTCTGGTAGGAAGTCCACACACCCCTAACACACATTTTGTATCACAGAACCAGACTGCAGATTCTTCGCCATGGTCTGCTGGGTGAGCAATACAAAAGCTTACAAAGGATTTAAATTGTTGGGAACTTTTGTTTTACATGTTCACTGTGGTAGTGTATGTACTCTGAGGAAAGTCTGTTTTACTTGACATGAAGAGCACATCAATATTAAAGTGTATTAAAATCAGCAATAGTCACAGAAAAATGAGTGACCCCTCATTTGTCATATAAGGAGCTACAATAGTTTTTGTGCACTCTGACAGATGCTCTCATGTGCTCACATTTAGAGAATTTATCTCCTAAAAGGACACAGGAATTCTTCTGACTTGATTCAGATTTTAATTGGGCATTTCTGTTTTGCTGCTGTATTTCCAAAAAAAGTACAATATATTTCAGATGGAACAAGTGTATCATGAAACATCATTTGAAATGAGAGTATCATCCTTTTTGGGTAAAAGTATTAAACACAATGAACACGTTATTTTGGTGTAGTTTTCTCATGCAAGCTTGTTTTTAAGGGTCTCTTGTTAAATGGAGTTGCTTCAAAACTGTTATCAGTGCCTTGTTGCATATAAATAGATTTCTACTATGGAATTACACAGTAAAGTGTGTAGAGAACCGAGAGGTTCTATTGCTGATATGAATTTTGTTGTTACTTGGATTTTTACTCAAGTTACAAGGAACTTTTTATTTAAAAGATACATAGAAAGCTTTGTTTTACTTAATTTCTGCTAATTTTGAAGTTTTCATAGCAACTTCATATCCTGTATAATGTCAAGTCTGTGTTGTGATAATAGTATAATGTTTAGTGAATTCAACCAATATCAGACTTTGTTCAGTCAATATTGGACTTACATAGAAAATGCTCAATCTGATTTTCTGTGGGCAAAATTAGATGGGCTATTTAATTATTTTTTTGTTAAAAAAAGGTTGAATCAAAGTTCAAATCTCCTTAAAATATATATTATACCTCTGCTTAGGAAGCGGAACAAAAAAGGAGAGAAGAATGGGAAGGGTTTACGTCATTTCTCTATGAAGGTTTGTGAGAAGGTGCAAAGGAAAGGAACCACCTCATACAATGAGGTGGCAGACGAGCTGGTTGCAGAATTCAGTACCACTGATAATCACATTTCACCAAATGAATCAGTAAGTATATGGGAGGTCAACTACCCGTGAACTGAGTGGGGGAAGAGAAGTGTCTTTTGAGACTTCTGTATTTCTTTTCCTACTGCTCCATGAAACAGTTCAGCCCCTACCTGAGTTGACCCATTTACTGTAATACATTTATTTCCAAATATTTTTGTCACAGGTATGTTCTTGATTAATGTACTGTGTCTACAGCAGGCTTATGACCAGAAGAATATTAGACGACGTGTCTATGATGCCTTAAATGTCCTTATGGCCATGAACATTATCTCTAAGGAGAAGAAGGAAATCAAATGGATTGGTCTACCTACTAACTCGGCTCAGGAATGTCAGAATTTAGAGGTATATGTGTTAGGAAGTTCAGTAGCTTTATATTTCAGTAGATGTTCACAGCTTTAATACGTTCTGATGCAACAAGTGCATGTGATCTGAGACACCAAGGCACCTTCTTTGCTGCTGAAGTTCTTAGATATTTCTGACATTCATCTGATGTGAACATGTCAGAATTTTTTACTGCTTGTCTTGGGTAAGAAGTAAAATGATTTATACTGAAAGGGATTCATAAATTCTGGCAGGATTTGTTTGTTTAGTATCTTGAGATGTGCACGGTAATAAAGTTACCAAGGTTTACTGAAGTCAGTTCACTTTATCAGAATAGAATGGGGCTTTGGAGTTATTCTTAATAAGTCTAAATTCCCTTCAGCAGTACTGAAAAATCACTGTAGATGAAATATTCCATGCATGGAATGGAGTTCAGCTTTCTCACACTTACCACATTACATTTACCAAAAATAATTTTGATGGCGTAATCACTCAGTGCTGCAAGACACTTGGAGTGTGCTTTATGATGAGCTCTCTTCTTACTGTGCCAGGTAACCCAGCAGTGTCAGCAGATTCTGTCACCTTGCTGTCACCCTTATTCTGATCCTTTATAATTTGAATAACAGTCTGTAAATTACAGCCTTGTGGGAGTCTGCTGGCGAGCTTCCCTCGCTGAGAAAGCTGCTGATTTCCTACAGTCTTGTCTCCCTTCTTTTATGTTATGGCTCAGTATGTATTTAATACTGTGAGGACTTAACCTTGGGCTCCATAGCAGCTTCATTTCTTTCAGCATCTCTGACAGATCTTCTCTGATACCTCCAATATCAGTAGAGTACATAAGGTGGATACCTCTGGTCTATATGATCTTTTCCCTCTCAAGAGAATTTGATAATTCTTTGAGGCATAACTTCCTTTTGTGAAGATGTTTTCACCCTCTCCCTGATATGTTGTATTTTATCCCCCAGTGTTCTAATTCTGCTCTTTATGCTAAAGTTTTCATCAGTAGTACTGATAAGAGTCTTGATAGCTAGATCTCTAAATTGCCTGCAGAACTTCAATGACTGACATCATAGGTCCTACTCCCAGTTCTCTGGTATTGAGGTGGTTTTAAAAGGGAGAACATGTTGTGATAAAATACTACTTAAAACCAGCAAACTAAGCAATCCTTTTCTGTCTTAAGGTGGAGAAACAGAGAAGACTGGAAAGAATAAAGCAAAAACAGTCTCAGCTACAAGAACTCATTCTACAGGTACAGTCAAGGTACTCTTGTCTATAGGGCAAGGTAACTTATATCTGTATTACTGTTGTTTGATCCTAGTGGGGGATGGGAGACTTGAAAGAATACTAGAAATTAATTTCAGGATAAGACATATACAGTTCTAGTTTAGCTGGGACCATGCTGTTGGGAATTTCAGGATAAGGCATCTACAGTTCTAATTTAGCACTCTAGTTTAGCTGGGACCATGCTGTTGGCCATTGCTGTTGAAGCCAGCCACCTTCCATGAGTTAGGTTAAAGTCTTGCAGTTGCAAGTATGTTTAAACAGGATTTATGCTGACAGGAGCTTTAATCCATACTGTTCCCCCTGAATTTTCCAGTTCAGTTCCTGTATCTAGAGTGTTTTTCTGTGTTAAGAGTCCATAAATAAATTTATGTGACTGTAAAGGTCATCTCTCAAAATGCTGTCTTGCCTTTCTGGGACTTTCCTGCCCCTGCTGTGTAAGTGGCTTAGCTGCTGTGAAACAGTTGCTGAACATCTTGCCAGGTTTCTCCTAGCACACTTGGGGAAGCAGTATTCTAACCCCCTAAACTGCTGTGCTGCTGGTTCACTGGAGTGTATCCCTCAGTTGGTGCATTACCTGTACAGCAGGAGTGAGACTCTCAAGGAGGTTATGCAGAAGGAAACCACAGACAGCAGTGGAACACCAGTAGTTGCAGCAGTTGTCAGGTTTTTAGCAGCCTCTGTGCTGGCTTTGGAGTTTAATTCCTGCTTATTTCATTTGATTCCATGGCCAGAAAAAGACTTTTTCTTCATTTGGTGGCTTATTGTAAGATTTATAACTTTAGTTTCAATAATTAACTTGAGTTTTTAATTACATGAAAAAGCAGTTTTGGTAAGATGTGAGAGTAAAGTCACTGATCTTAGCTGAGTAATTCAGAAGCCTAAATTCAGACATTTATATCCCAGACATTGTCTGTATAACATACAATTTCATCAAAAATACAGTGTTAATTATACAGCTGTTCTTGTGGAGTGCAGTAGCTAGGAGGGAAGAATAGACAGTGGAAATAAGATGCTATATGAAAATACCTTTTTCCAATCATTTTTATCTCTTCACTCTCTTCATTTGGTCAAGGATCTGCTGTCCTGATGTAGTTATTAGAACATGCATTTTTTTTCTCAGTTAAATTTTACTGTGTTGTATTTTTCAATGCTATCATTTGTGCCTCTTCTTGCATCTTAACGTGCAGGGATCTGGGAACACTCTGTCCTCTTCTGCATTTACTTGCTGCAACCATTGCTTGTATTCTTTATCTAAGGGATATTTTTTGTTAAAAGGATCTTAAAAGTCTAATTCATTCTTTCCTATCACTGGCTTTTTCTAGCAAATTGCCTTCAAGAACCTCGTGCAGCGAAACCGTCAAGCAGAACAACAGGCAAACCGACCACCCCCTTCCAATTCTGTCATCCACTTGCCATTCATCATTGTGAACACCAGCAAGAAGACAGTGATTGACTGCAGTATTTCAAATGACAAGTGAGTTAACAAAAGCCAGGTGGAGAATTTTGGTCCAGCTATGAGTTTTTAAGTCCACGCTAAAACGCTTCACGTAGATTTGGTAAAAATGAAATACAAATAAATTCACTTATGCATTTTTTTTTAGGATGAGAACATGCATTTCAGGCAGGCAAAACTTAGTCATGTTGAACAGAAACAGTGTTACAGAGCTTTTTAATAAATACATTAATTGTGTTCCCATCTAATGACTTAAGATTTACCATCTACAGGTGTTAGAAGCAAAGTAAGGCAGCTCTGCTGAAGTTTTAATCATATTTTACCAAGTAGTGTTTTTGTTTGGCTTTAACACTGTGAAGTGCAGCCAGTAGAATTGAAAACAGATTTTGTTTTCAGAACTGCTGTTGTCTCCTTGTGGTTCAAAAAGCTAGATTTTTCATCTCCTAATGAAAGGTGGATGTATCAGTGATTTCTCCTTGCACTATTACCTTACTAGAAGAGCTTAAAACCATGGAAAAAAAAGTTCTACATTAGGCAGAGGAATGGGAGTAAATATAAAATTATCAAACATGGAAAATGTTTAATTAAAACTTTGTATCTTTGAACTCTTAATTATTTATATGGTGTGTATAATTAGTTCTAGACATTTGCTATCAAATACATAAATCTTGAAAAATGTGATTGCTTAATGTGATGTGTCACTGACACTGTTAAGCTTTTGAAATGCTGCAGTTCCTGAAGGTAAAGCCATTGAAGCTCATGGAGACATTTTTTTCCTCTCCAGGTTTGAATATCTATTTAATTTTGACAACACTTTTGAAATTCACGATGACATAGAAGTACTAAAACGAATGGGAATGGCTTGTGGGCTGGAATCTGGAAGCTGTTCAGCAGAGGACTTAAAAATTGCAAGGAGTTTGGTTCCTAAAGCTCTGGAACCATATGTGACAGGTTAGTTACTCCAAGAAGAGTTGTTTTGGTTTCCTTCTCTGTACAGGTCTCAAAGAAACAACGTGAAAATATCTCATTCCACTGGTTTGTGGGGAAGATTTCTAACAAGTTCTTAAATGTATATGCTTTTTAGTATACTTTAGGGAACAAATAACACACAGATTCATAGCCAGTGGGCTGTTGCTCTCCACAGAACTGCATTTAGCATTATACCACACCAGTAGATCTTTGCAGTGTTTAATTCTTCTAAGAGGACAGTATTTATAGTTGATTCCCCTGCAAAGGCTAAAGGTAGTGAGTACAAAAGTGTTCATGACTTCATTCTAGATTGTTCTATTTTCATTATATAAGAATGCTGAAGACATATGACTTGTTCTTTTCAAAATAAAATTTGGCTTTAATGTATTTTAAAATTTTACTGTTGTATTTGCTTCTTGGTTTCTAATTATGCCAGTTTGGATATAGTAATATCCAATAGTAATATAATATGTTCTATTGTTTTGGCTGCAAGACTCCTCTGCTTTGAAAGGATTAAGCTTTTCCATGAATTTAGATGAGTGTGTTTTGAAGTACTCTTGAAAACACATACTGTTCATTTTACAGAAATGGCTCAGGGATCAATCAGCAGTGTGTATGTCACATCTTCATCAGGTTCTGCATCAAATGGCACAAGATTTTCAGCCAGGTGAGAGGAAATTGTCCATTAGTTTTTTAAATCTATGATCATCCAAGAAACTTAGAGATTAAATACTTAATGAGACACATTCTGTTTTGATTAAATGTGGTGAGTATGTGTTTAAGTTTATTCTCAGGCATGATTTTTGCTTGCATTAGTGGTGGTTTTTACCAATGTCATTAAAGAAATCTTTTCCTGTGCAGTGGAAAGAAATTGTCTCAACTGATGTTGATGTTGAATCAATGACTTTTGTTTACTTTTGAGTTTGTGAGAAGAAAACAGGTACTTCCCTAAAGATACAATATGAGCAGGATTATCCCTTGGCCATTAATGTCTAACTTAAAAAAGGGTTTGGTCTTTGGGTTTTAAAAAGCATCAGAAGCTGGTAGCGTGATAACTGCTAACTTCTGTTTAACTTTGTCTGGGCACATGTGATTTCTGAGCTTCACTCTTATTTTTCCTTTGCTATCCAAGACACTTTTCCTTATGAAGTTATTACTTGCTAGTTTCTTGCTGTTGCATTAATCAAAAATGCCCTGTAACCTCTGCTAAGTTGTAAAATGAGTCAAGTAGGATTGAAATGTTTAATGTGGTTAACAAATATTGGAAAAAAGAAACGTGGAAAGAATACTTCTAAGGCATCTGTGAAATAACTTGGTCTTTATATCAATATCATAAAAACCATTTCAAAATTACTTTTTTTTTTTTCCAGTGACTTTTCCAATGGTGGAGATGGGATGTTGGCTACAAGTTCCAATGGATCTCAGTACAGTGGCTCCAGAGTGGAAACACCAGTTTCTTATGTTGGGGATGACGACGACGACGATGATGATTTTAATGAAAACGATGATGACGACTGATGCCCTTTGCTTGTAGACTATTTTCTGTTAAAATTCAGCAAGCTTCAGGAATAAATTGTTCTAGGGAGAAGTGTCTCAAATTACTTTGCCCCATCCCTCAAGGAGAATCTTGGTAAGCAGTTCTGAGTTTAGAAATTGCACCTCTGATAAGCAAACAAGGATTGTTTCATGTAGGATATTTTTAAATGTGGTGTGGATGTGTGTTTTTGATACCAGTGTGTTAATGCAGAGCCTTTATTTACTCTTGTTTTAGGGGTTTTTTGGTTTGTTGGTTGTTTTTGTTTGGGTTGGTTTGGTTTGTTTTTTTTTTTTTTACTTGAAGGAAAATGGATTTTGCCCCAAATGTTCTTGCGAAGTTTGCTAAAGAAAATGTAGACACATCATTGAGAAATAAAATGCTGTCCTTCTGTGGAAAATGAATACACTGAATGGCAATTTATTTGGAGTGTATTTTGCTTATGCCACTTTTTGAGGGATAGTGAGCTGATGTAGTAGTGTTTTTTTTTTTGTTAACCACGCAGTGTCCAAAGAACCAAACAAGAAAGATACGTCCTACTTCTTTACATGTTAAAATTCCAAGAAATGTTGTTGTGAACTTATTTTCCCTTAAATTATATCTAACGTTATGATTCCATCAAGTTTATATACTTTTCACTGTATGTTGGGACATGTGAATTACAAAGTTTTTTGGCAAATGTTTACTGCCAGTTGGTGCAGCTATATAAAATGTCTTGAAGGTTTGGAATGATTTATTGCTTATGGTAAAATTTGCCTGATTTCTTACAGGCAGACTTTGGAAACTTTTTATTATATAGTTGTTTACATACTTATAAGTCTATCATATAAAGACATGTACTGAAACAAATGTTTGTATTTGTTTCACAAGCATCTTCCTGTAATCTATTATAAAGTTGAAATTAAATATAGAGAATGTTTTAAGTTTTTTAACTCAAAATTTGTCAATCATTTTTAATAGTTCATTTTTATAAAAGGAATTTCAGGGCAGGTGGTAGTCTTTTTAAATTTATTCACAAACAATTAACTGCACAAGTACTGTCAGCTGCCTATTCTAAGACAGTAGTCTTTTTATTGAAACACAAATAAACTTTTCTGTAATATTTTATGGAATATAAAGAGACTATAATTGTTTGACTTGTTTAACCTTGGCACTGTTAGTTTTTATTAATAAAAGGCGCATGGGCATTTTTAACAAGCTCTGTGGTTTCTCTAATTTTAGGGTTATTTTAGAAGGTTTCACTTCCTCTCATCATTAACTGTCTCAGGATACTACATCTGCACTACAGAGGGCCTAGATTTTTTGCTTTGATTCAATAATTTGTCCTTACAGCTCTTGGTAACTTAGGATAAAGCAATATCTTGCCCTGTATACTCTTTTCTTTCATGTCTCCTGATTTTGATTGTGTTGCTCCTCAGGGTTTCAGGCCAATCTTAGTACTCCAGCCCAGCTTCTGTTTAAAATCCCACACTTACTGTGCTAACTTTTCACCCCATATTCCTCACTCCTGGCTTTCCATCCTACACTATGATGTTCTTACATCATTACTGGTTGCTTACTAGAGAGCAGTTGATGCTCAGGGAACGTTTCCCAGTTGTACCAAACTTTGTTGTAATCTGAGTGACTTCATTTTCTGGGCCTGGGAGGACCATTGTCAGGGGCTGGTTGAATGCTTCTTGCTGAAGATGTCATGCTTTGCAGTGCTATGCTAGAAGTAAGGGTTTTGTGGTGGCTGAGTCAGCTGATTCAAATGGTCTTTGCTGTTGAATGGCAGTTTTATCTGCAGAATCCAACAGTAGTTGTCATAGACAACTTTGGACAGTCCAAGGAGATTCCAGTTTTCCCTTAAGTTCTAAATCTCCAGTGTATGATCCAAGATTGAACTGCAAAGAGTGAGTACACAATGTTGGGTAAGGAAGGGTGAAAGCATCTGACAGTTTCTTTTTGGTTCTTATCAGTGGAATAGACCTCAGATGAGACAAGATCAAGGTGGGAGCAAAAGTATGGCAAAAGCTACATTTCAGAAGACATTACTTGCTTTTGATTGCTGATGAATCTCTGAAATGGAATTTGGGAGTTTCAACAAGGGCATTGGAGTAGTTTGGGGGAGTTAATTTATATTATATTTATGATTGGACTTGATGATATTAAAGACCTTTTCCAACATAAATGATTCTATGATTCTTTTGTGTTCTCTTTGTTTCAGGAGAGGTGTCTAGTAAAGACAACAGTAGGAACAGAAAGTCTATTGACTTTTTAATTCCTGGCTAGATTTCAAGTAGTTACCTGGTCATAGTGTTAAGGTGAAGGAGGATGGGCAAAAAGAAAACATAAGAGACTGTTGGTGAGGGAGAAGGTGGAAGTGAGGAAAGGAGACTTGAAGTAGTAGTAGAAGGAAACCAGAAAAGAGAGAAAAAAATGTAACTTAGGGTTTTTACAGAGGGGCATAAAGAGAGAAGAAGGTGGAAGTTGGGAAGAATTAACAAGAAAACAAGAGAAAAACAAAGACTATAAAAAAAAAAAAAGACTAGTAGTAGAAACTATTTTTTTAAAAAAAAAAAAGGTAAATTCATAGAACAGATGTAGTAGTGTCAGGGCTGGCATGAAAGGAACTGCAAAGAGAGATAACTGTGTGGTTCTGGTCTCTGACAGGGGTGGTACTGTGCCTACAGATAGAAGAGGAAGGTCAAAAGCAGGAAAAGAATGCAAGAGGAAATCATGGACAAGAAATTGTTGAAGAAATCTGTGGAAGGAGAAAATACTGTAAGGAGATAGAAACTAGAATTCAGTTTAAGAAAGATTAAAGGTAATGAGAAGGGTAATAATGGCTCAGTTGAGGGAAAAAGAGGGAAATGACAGAGAAGGGGTGTACTGTTACTCATCACTTTGTGATCTGAAGAAGAGGAAAAGTTGCAAAGTATGTATCTCCATCTGAAATGGTTCTCTAGATAAGTCCTGGGAACTATGTGCATCTTTTACTGTTTTTCTGAAGTGATAGTGAACTTTGAAAGGCTCCTGTCTCTATTCTGACCTGTATAACAAGTTAAGAATGATGTCCTGAACTGTTTGTTTCAAAAGTAAGCTAGTTTGCTTTGCCTGTAGGAATTTGCTTGTCTTAAGAAAAGCAATTATGACTTTGGAAACCTTTTTTTAAGAAAAAATCCTTCAATGAAAAGCAGCTATTGCAGAGGAGGAAAAAATGGGGCTGATAGTGTACCAGGAGGTAACTGTCATAAGATGAATCTCTCAGTTTCTTCATCAGTGAATACATAGGTTATGAAATCTTCACATTCACAGGAAATGTGAAAATTGGATGCTGCTTTAATATAAAAATGGCAAAAATAATTAAAAAAAATTGATGTAATACCACTGGA